TTGGTTTTGTCTCGTGTTACTAACAGACTCCACCTTGATGTATAGCCCTCTTCATATAAATCATCTATAACTTTCTAAACATTAGTTCAAGATAAAATATCCATGGCACATGTGTGGTCCAGATTCCTGCCAGGAATAAACACAAGTCAGTGTCCTCCGGACCGTCTGGTGTCCGAGGCCCACCCCAGGACTGGACGGTCTGAACTAAATTATATCACGAAGACACTCTGTAAGCTCTTTTGAAACAAATGTATTTACGTTAGTGTGAATTCCAGCCTGGGAGGGTATCATAGACCTTTTCAGGGCCGCCTACTCATGGTATATGTTTAAATTGTGAGCAGACAAAAGTGATAACTGACTGGGACCTTTTTTCCCTGGCAGCTCGTTTTTGTGGCTGCTTTTCCTGTAAGTAGAACATGTGGGTTTGAGAATCTGGGAAAAACCCAAGAAGTGCAGAAAATGAAAACAAGTTATTAATACAAATTGTACTGGGTATCAGAATAAGCATGAGAAATGCTAAGTCTTAGCTCATAAAGATGTTCATGGTGGTCTAGCAGTGTGCGCAGACCCAGGACTTCGAGAATGCCTAGCTCTGAGTCACACTGAGCCGAAGTTCGTCCTGCTCGCTCTCTGTGGGGTGTTCTGGAATTATCTCTGGAGGTTTCTGAACCTTCCCTATTTTGGACTGCTTTTGCCTGTCGGCCAGGATGCACTCAAAAGAAAGGCAAACCAGGCTTAAAAAGGGTAATTGGGTCAGAATCGGACAAGTTATCAATCCCAAGGCAAATAGAAATCATTTTGGGGTTACCTGCCTTTTCCACACCCCCTCCTGTTGGCGGGTTGCCCGCTTGCAGCTCCTCGTCCCCTGCTAGCACTAGTCACGTGGGCACTGCCTGTTGCGGGCTGTAGTCTGGGAGCCCCACCCGGCGCTCCTTAGCTTCTGTGCCCCGGGCCCTTCCTGTGCAGGCAGCTGGACATCGCTTACCGTGCTGGCATGGTCTACCACAGCTAGGTGTGTGCTGATAAACAGAGTAAATATTGGCCAGCAAACGGAAGAATTAGGTCTATGGTAATTATATATCGTTTGTTTGCAAGTTAAGTGACCTGGCCAGGGACAGTCATCACCTGTTCTCAGATGCGTGTAAAAACGGTGCTATTAGACGTGACTCCTTGAGCCTTCGGTTGAGAGGACGTCTAGTTGGCATGTGGACAGTTGCCAGGATAACCAGTTGTGAGCCGAGAAGGTGGGCACCAGGAGCGGAGGGCTGCGCGGCGTCCGGCCGTGTCCTTCTCAAGGACACGGAGGGGTGGGGCGGCTCAGAGCTGCCCCCCCCACCCATCAGGGTCCGGGGCTCGGGGCGGGGCTTCAAGGCGGAGCGGTTAAGGGTTCGCAGGCGGTGCTGTGCGCCGCGTGTCCTGGGTTTCAACGTTGGTTCCGGCCTTGTTAGAACCAGGACAGGACCAGGCCGAGCCGGTTCTGTGGCTGCAGAGTGGGTGGCAGGGGTATCTGAGGCCTCTGAGCCCTTGCTGGTCCCTCCGGGAGAACCGTCGGCTCACAGAGGCCACCAGCTCCTCAGATGCCCCCACGTTCCTTGGAGTTTGGGGTTCGCACAGCGTCTCAGTCCTTGGAGTTTGGGGCTCCCACAGTGTCTCAGTCGGGGACAGGGAAGGAAATGCATTCGAGGCTGTGGCTTGGAGATCTTGAGTCCCGCCTGCAAGATGCTGGCCCCTGAGACACATGGAACCCTGGACGCCTGTTCCGGTGGGCAAGCCCGGGAGTTCCTGAAGGGACGGCGTGGGCGGGGAGCCCTTGCGGGTGGGTCCCCGCGGTGCGCTCCCCGGGGAGTCCTGCGCCCCGCCCCCGCCCGGCCGGGGCTTCCTCGCTTCCAGCCTCCTCCGCGCCGCCATCAGCGCGGTTCTTTTCAGGCCTATCTTCCAAGTCCCAAACGCGCTCTCCAGCCTCCTCACCTCTGTTGTTAACCTCTGTGCAGGGTTTCGTTTCCACACTTGCAGTTCTCACTGTCGGACATTCCGCGGGGTTATTTTTCAAGTCTGCATCTTACTTCCTCTTTTCTTTCTTGCAGCTTTTACTTCTTTACAATTTCGGGGTTTCCTGAGGCTGTCTTAGGGCTGCTCAGCGCCCGAGATCCTGTTGGTAGTGGTCCCGCTGGCCCTTCTCGTGGCGGCTTTTCCCGGGTCGCAGGGGATTTTGACTCTGAACTCATACTAGCGTGGGCTCATTTTTCGGAAGCTGTGGGCCCGCGCTGGGCGGCTTTCTGCCCAGGACTTGGATATCCCCGTGTGGTGACGGTGCTGCTCAGCCTGGGCCCCGCCGCCTTGGCATTTTTTTGCTGACTGCTCTCCGTTCCCTTCCCTTCTCTTCTCCCTCAGGGACTCCCTTTACCTCTTTGGGATCGGGAGTATATTAAAAACCATGTTTGTTACTGTACTGTTTCACAATTTTTCTATAAATCTTAAACTGTCTTAAAAATTAAAGTCTACTTTTAAAAAGCACGTTTGTTTCACTTTCTCTGGATCTGCTCGCTCTGCACCACAGGCCCCCACCAGACCCCTCGGCGGGCGAGCCGAGCCCGCCCTGCTTGCCGCGCGCATGTGGTCCCGCCCGCATCCGTGGGGTCACTCGCAGACGCAACTTTCTTCCGTCTCTTTTTGGTTTCAGTGACACCCCTCTCTCCTTGCTTCATTTCATTTTGAGGATGCGTTAGAGATTTCTTAGTGCACTTTGTTCCATCTGCTAAAGCCTGAGACTTTAGTTTTAATTATGATCGTAACACAAAATGAACCTGTTCTTCCTATGTATGAAGTTTGCATTTCATGATTTATTTTTCAAATGTCATTATTGAGAATATTTCCAGTTTTGTGTCTGGCCTTGCAGATTTCCTTCTCATCATCTCGGAATGATTTGCATTTGGTGCTACTTAATGCATCACGTGACTATAGGTGGTTTCTTACGGGTAGGAGAGGGGCCGCTGTCCGTGGTGCCCGTGTCAGCCCTGGGGCGGGACCCGCCCGCTTCTGCGATGGAACCAGCCGCTCTGGCTGAGGGCAGGTAGCCAGGTACTGGCTTGTGGGGCTGCTCCTTTGATGTGTGGCAACATGAGAGTTTAAAAACTGGACACACAACAGCGTATGTTTTTACTATCGGACAGTATTTGAAAGGTGCCAAGACTCTCAAAGTATTTCTGGACCGGGACTCATGATGGTTCGAATTGTGACAGCCCCTCGGCTGACCTGTTGGAAAGCAATGCCTGTCACTGTCTGCGCTCAGGCCCTTTCTAGGAGAGGAGGGTGGGCCACTTAGCTGGCCTCTCTGGTGTTTCAGGTGTAAGTCCCACCAGGTGAGGGGCTGAGACCAGGTCTGCTCAGAATGGAAGAGGGCCCCCATCTTCCAGCAGGCGGGGGTCGAGGCTGGGGGCCTTGGCGCTGGGGATGGGATGGGCAGGCAGAGCGTGCAGGACGGCGCCGCCGGCAGCTCAGACTGCGCATGCGTGCGCTCGCTGCCCGGTGCCGGAGGCCACGTGGTGCGCGTGGTAACGGCTAACTCGGGCCCCTCTGGGCCTCGCCTGCTTGGGTTTTGGCCTGCGGGGTCTTAAACGTGAGCTCTGCTGGTTGGGGCGGCCTTGGGCCTGGGAAGGGGCGTCGCGCGCGGCCTCACGCCGGGGAGGGCCAAGCTGTTTGGTGAGCCAGCTTGTCGAGGCGCCCTTCTCCTTAACCCTTGTCACCCGTGCTGGTGGCAGGCCTTCCCCACATCCTGCACTCGGGCCTCACCTCCCTGCAGAGAGCCCATGGGACCATTTGCAGGCCAGCTCCTGGGGCTCCGCAGCAGGACGGCCGCTGGGCAGGGCGTGGGTGTTCTCTTATTTCAGAGCTGGGAGCTGGGAGGTTTCCGCACACCCGGTGCCCAACCCCCGCGCCAGTGTCACAGGCCCCTGGAACCCGCTCCCGCCCAGCTCCTTAGCCCTTCCCACCCCGGCTCCAAGCCGGCTCCTGGCGTGTGTGACTCCAACACCCTCTCCTTCCTGGGTCCCAGCTCCTGCCGCGTTCCCAGCCTCCGCAGACGCTTCTCCTCTATGTGTCCGCGGGGGAGTGGCCTCTGGTGGCCTCAGAGCTGTGGGGCCTGCCAGGGGCCTGCAGGTGCATCCCAAACAGACTTTCTCAGCTTTCGCCACCCCAGAGCTACTTGTAGCTTTGGTTATTGGGGATGTCTGTCATCCTAGGACCTCCCCTGACAGCTTCCCCTTCCAGAACTGGCCTGAATCACATCTTGCTCGACGTGTTTGTTCTTGTCCCTGGTGCCTTTGATCCAGCCACCCTCCTCTCCTCCGGTCCCTCACCCTCCCCCGGACGCCCTCCTTGGAAGGGTCCCTCGACGTGCCTGCTGTGGCCACTCCTGCCCCACTTGGCTGCGGCGGCTGGGCCCGGTGGTCCAGAGCACGGGTGGCCTGCGCCCGGACTGCCATCCCCAGGGACCTGTTCTACCTCTCCGGGCCTGGGGTGCTCTGTGCAGTGGAGGTGATCCTAGGAGTGTGCACGCCGAGTGCGATGTGCCATGCCCAGGGCAGCACCAGCCCCAGGCACGGCCGACTTGCACAGTATTGGACGGGCTGCCAGCCGGCCGGCCGCCTCCTGGGCGCGGTGCGTGCCCTCCAGACGCACCAAAGTGTGCAGACTTGCCCTCGCTCAGGCTGTTACCAAGACTGTGATGTCAGACGTGCTGGGATTTGTTCTCTTCCAATGAAAGTGACGATGACTTCCGCCTCGTCCCGGTGTGGCCTGGTTCACTGGCCTGGGCGGAGTTCACTCAGGAAGTGGGAGCGTAGCTCTTGACTCAGCGAGGTGTCTGGTTTTCCTCGGACACCTGCGCGGGGAACCAGAGCCTCCCGAAGAACCTCTCAGATTCCTTCCTCGGGTGGACGTACTGTTTCCTGACTTTTGTCATGAGGCTTAATTAACTCATGTCTCTCTCTCTTTTCTTTCAGTCTGCAACTGTATCTGACGGTGGTAAGTCACAATTTCTGATGTATATTTTTATTATTTTTAATGAAGTTTTCAAATTGTGAACGTGTATTTGCCGTTGACTCCCTCAAAAAAGGTGTTCTCTTTGCCATGTCCCGTCCCCTTGGGAGGTTGGCCAGGGCTGATCTGGGGAGCACGCCCTCACCGTCCCCTTGGGAGGTGGCCGCACGGCCTGTGTTTCGGAAGCCATTGACTGCAGACACATGGCAGAACCCGAGTCTGAGCATGACGGAGCAGCTGGGGCCGGCCAGGCGCTGGGTCGCAGCACAGCCTGCCCCATGCTGCACTCGACGAGTCAAAGCCTGCCGCCCCCTGCCGTGTAACCAGCTTCTGAGCCAGAGGGGGACGGGCGCACGGCACCCGCCGAATGCGAGCCGTTCTGGGCGTCCGGGCGGCCCTCAGCTGCCAGACTCCCCTTTCTCAGGTGATTGAGGGTCGGGCAGAGAGATTTCAAAACCTCGTCTGTCTTCAGAGAATTTCGTTCATGGGAATTCTTTGCATGAGATTGATCCAGAGAGAAAATGGCCAGAGATGTCATTTCATGAAGATTTCTCTGATGTAATACTTATCATTTTAGATTAATGATTTTTTAAAACTCTTCAAGATGACCGAGAGTTTCTTCCAAATGTTTCTTGTTTCTTATAATACTTCTTAAAATTTTTATGCTCGTAGGTTGGTGTTTTTTTTTTTTTACATGATTTTAATTAATCTATTCTGCATTTTGAGATTTGAATTTTAAAATTTACCAAAAGGTACCACCAGCACTTTATCTTCGCTGATATGCTGGCTATGGGTCGGAAGTCCAGGTGACAGCCAGGGCTGCCAGAGCTGGGGTGAGCGTGTGGCTCGAGGCCACCGTCTTTACGGCAAGATAAAGGGAAACTGGGTATAGTTTTCCAGCGCTTAGCCAGCCGGGCGTGAGAGAGGGCACATCGCGTCACACAAGGGCCAGCACCTGACCCAGGGCCGGAGCGGTCCCCAGGCTTGTGTTCAGGGATTTATTTTTTTCATAAAAGGAATTACGTTACCTGTTTTGTGTACAGTGATCACCATGCCATTCAATCCCTCTTAAGCTGGGGATGGGAATAACGTCCTTAAAAAGAAACAGGACCTGTGTCACCCAACCCAGGGTAAAGTGAGTGGTTTTAGCAGATTCCAGTCATGCTGGCCCTTTCCACAATGCTCTGATTTCTCTTTTCTGGTGAAAGACTCATTTCTGCAGGAAGTGTATGTCAGTTTGAGAAGTTTACTTAATATGTTCATAATCATAAATATTAAGCTTTGTTTGTCTCTAAAGTTTTCTTCTGTTAGTAATAGGTGCAAGGGCCTCGGGGAGTTTTATTACAGGGTCTGTTTCATAATTTTTTTAAAAGCTGCGCTTCCTAGGTGTGGGAAGTCTGACTCAGCCCCGACGCCCTTTCGGGGGAAGTGGGGTCTGGCCGGCGGTGGTTCCCCTCCCCGCGGGGCTTTCCGGCTTCCTGGTCCCACCTCCTTGTCTCTGCTTCAGGCCCCGGTGCCACTGGGCTCGGCCCTTGTCCCTGGAGCCCCTCTGTGGCAGAGGGGGACGGGAAGAGGCCACTATTTCACCTGGATGCCTTGAATTTCAGGAACTGCACCAGACAGCTTATATGCGTTTTATTTAGGTTTTTTTTTTTTTTTACATTTTTCTTATTTTTCCTTCTTCAATTTCTTTTCTGATTATAAGAAGAAAAGGTTTCACTTAATCTGCGCATTAGTTCTAGGAGGTGAAATACCACATCCCACTGTCTTTACCGGGAAAGACACTGAGGCAGGAGGGCAGGGGGCCCGGGGGCCACGTGGAGGACGGGGCAGAGGCTGGGCCGCGCTGTGAGGGCTGATGACCCCAGGGCCGTGGAGGGGCCGTGGCTGCCGAGGTGCGTGTGTGTGCTTGGGCTTCCCGCCCCATCTCCCCCAGACCCTTCGATTCCTGCCAGCCCGCTTCCTTGGGACGCTTGTGGCGAGGGGGCGGGGGGAGAGGAGACCCCCGACCCCCGCCGTCTCCCGCAGTGGACAGGAGCCTGTTGAGAGAGTCTGGGTGGACTCGGTGTATTTCCACACAGAGACACTTAATGTCTGAGGGGAGCAGGAGATCAGGCCCCTGAGGGGGCCTGGGACCTCCGGCAGCGGTTTCTGGGGGGAAAGCACACCCGGATCCATGCGGTGACTCGGGACCCCATTTGGAAAGCCACCTGCTCACGTGCTGGGGCGGTCAGCCCCGCAGCTTCGCTCTGGTGGCGAGTACACCCCTCACTCGCAAGTGTTCTGCGGCTGGTCAGCCTTGCGAGTGAGATGGCGGGACGCGCTGTGCAGGGACGCGCTGTGCGGGGACGCGCTGTGCGGGGACGCGCTGTGCCGGGACGCGCTGTGCTGC